TCACTTCACCTGGAGTCAGTTAAATATGTACAACGTAGACATCATAAGAAGAAAGGAGCAATATCACTTACATCAACAAGAAGAATACTACCTGCCACTTCCTCATCCTCAAAGTCCTGCATATACCATGAACAACATGAATACCACCTGCCACTTTCTCAAGGTCCTGCATTCCAGTTATATATTGTGAATTGGAAATTAGAAAAACAGCTGGAAGAAGAACTAAATTAACATGTACCTTAATGTACAACATGGTTTAAAATTCAAATCACTTTACGCACCTTTATATAGGAACCGTTGGGACCAAAAAGAAGTGTTTTCAGTTCAGAATGTTGCACAAAAATATAGATTAGACCAAAGGCTCATATTACTTGCCTAATGCTCACATTAATTCCAAATTTGATAAAAATTATGAAGATCAAGCAAACACAAATTACGAATGCTTGGGGAAGAATTGATGATATTAGTATGTAACTTAGATGATTTGTTTTAAGATTTGGCAAACACCTAAAAAAATAAGTTAAGAAACTTAATCAGTACACACCCTCTTGATCCCAAATTTTGAGCAAAGCCCGTCCTCTTGATACCCAATTTTGACGGCGACATATTTCAGCTAGTTCTAATCTCTACTATCTTGTGCAGGAGGACTTTCATAGACGGAGGTCTGTTCTTGCCGCCAACTTAATGGTGTGCAGTAAGGAAATAATACACAGCTGTTTAAATTTTTTTTGCTAGATGTTTTTCTAACTGTTGGCAATATAATTGGGGTGCAGGCTCTTAAAAAACTGGCAGGTTGTAATGTTGTTCTTGCTGAGGTAAGTGTTACAGTTGCTTTGTGATTTTGATGGCTACATTGCTTGCACATCTTGTTCTGTCTAATATTTTTAATTTGCCTGTGAACTATCAGTGGAAGGAGGGCTTTATTTCAGCTATAGGCCCATTTGAAGGATTTAGGACATTCGTGGAAGACTGCATTGTTTACAAGGTTTCCCCACGAACCCTTATCCGTCGGGTTAGAGATGTGGGTCGTATGGCTGTTTACGGTAATCTGCGTTATATCTCTGGTGACGGCTTTGAATGCAAGGAATGATTTTGGAGCCGTTGCCTTCTTTTCTCTGTGAATTCTGAATTCTATATATGGGGTCGAGAGTAGTATTGAACATTAGTATTAAACAATTTCCTCCGTTCAAACATTATTTTGGTATATATAGTTACCAACTTTCCATATTATCCTTATTTTTCCAAATTTTTTTCTTGACAATACGATATTCTAAACTACTCTAAAATACGGGCAGGGAGATTTGAGCTCAGGTGCAACTGGGTGGACACAGCTGCTAATGCGTATGCTCCTTAGTTTCAAATCTATTATTTGATTAGTTCGGGGTTTTAGAGTATATTATATCATTCTTATTTCTTGATTGACAAAGCAGGTTATCTCAATAACATAGATATTCCAACGAATCTGGACCTGGAGATGCATCGTCATCTTAATTAAGATACAAATAGATGAGGCATTTGCCTTCAACACAATGATACTTCTACAAGCATACAAAAAGCACGAACTAGAGTACTGTTTTACTGGTAATGCAGAAACTGCCACTGGGAAAAACAATCCTAAACTTACAGGCCTTCTCAATCACAACAAGAAAACAAAGGGACATGAAATAAAAGAAAGATTCAATCCTTAGTGACCTTCTTCCTCTTTGGTATCTCAATAGACCTTAATTAGTGCCACCAAGAGCACCCTTAAGCTTCTTTATCTGAGCAGCATCAAGGAAAGTAGTCTGCGCTATCAATTCGGTAGCTAAGTCATTTTTGAAGAGTGCAAAGTCCAGAATCTGCAGACCAGGGCTTGGACTGCTGAAGCTAGGAAATGCAAGGGCCGGAGTGCCACCTCCATTCACTTGGAAGTGCAATAGTCCTTGAGGGAACACCATAATGTCACCCTTCTTAAGAGTTTTCAGATAAGGTGTGTTATCTGAGGCAACAAACCCGGCAATTATTGTCCCTTGGATAACAAGTAAGACTTCTGAAGCTCCGGGGTGAGTGTGAAAGGGGATAACTCCACCTGGAGCCAGGTCTAAACGAGCCAGTGAAATGCCAAGGCCATTTACACCAGGAAATTGGGCAGCAAATGCAGGGGTGACTGCTGCTTTGATGATGTTTGTGGTGTTACCAGCAATGCCTAGGCCTGAGTACACAAAATCATCGACGGTAACTTTTGCAGGCTTTTTGCAAGAGTAGCCTGCAGGGCCATCAGGAGCTTTGTAGTCTGCAACACAGAAGTCTTGCACAGAGGCATGGGAAGAGGAGAGGAGGAGAAAAAATGTGAAGAAGATAGGGAAAATCATCTTGGCTGAGTGTAGCAGGTATTTGTTTAAGCCTTTTTGAGGTGTGCTTCTTGTCAAGCAAATTGGGATTTACATATATAGCGGGATAAAGTGAATATCTTGAACCATTGCAATTGGTTGGTAGGAATATGCCCATATAGGACTCACATGTGGAAAGATGTTAAGCATATGCGATGCAGCAAACGACAGATTTCAAGCTGTGATGCATGTGAACATGATATTTTCTTCATATAACAACAAGAAGCCTCTTTTTGCTTTTGAAAATGCAGTAACAGCAAGATCTTATTAAGAAAACTACTGACCTACGGTTTCAGAGTTATCACTAATTAATCATGTTGCATATCTAACAAGAGAATCCAAGGTTTTGTTTTAAGATTAAAAGTCCTTGAGAGTCTGAAAATGGCACATCAGATTGCGGTCCTTGAGGTTTGATCACATGGGAGAAAGATATTATGGGGGCATAAGAAGACATTTTGACAGCTAAAAGGAGGCAGGAAAATGGGAATGTGTGGCTATGAGAAGTTCCCCTTCTTGCAGGGTGCTTGGATTTCATAATTGAGAACTGTAAAGTCTTCTCAAATTCTGTCTCTTTGTATGTCTTAGCTGCAATATTCCTCTAGAGTTGAGTCAATGTAGAAACTTATATTACAGATTACACATCGTGCTTTGAGCTTCATGCACGTAATATCGATGCCTCAGTTGAGGTTTCTCACTAATATGCTTTATAGCAGTGGATTTTCAAAACAATGCCTCTATAAGTTATGCTACATTCTATTTACTAACATTTACTGTCAATTTTTTTTACACAGATTTGGCTTAGAGACAAACGAAATGTGGCGGTAACTTTTCTCTTTTGGTCATAATCTGTGGTTAATTTGAGTTCAGTTACTTCAGTACACAGTTGCAGAATGTAAAAATGAGAAGGAATCTTTTCTTGCCTAGGTCTAAAATCCTATATTTTGCGTGTGTGGTGTTTAGAAGCTTTCAAGATAAGGTTGTGAGGTTTTAGGATAACCATCAGCAGGGTGGTAGCCTTTCATCTTTCACTTTCAGCCAACAAATACAAAAGCTCCGTACAGAATTTTGTTTGTGAAGTTGTCGCAAAACACTATGATATGTGCCACTGATTCTAAATACAAAAAAATATAGATACAATAGCATAGAATGAGTTATCTATCAACAGTACATTATACAATTCTGAGTGAAAGAAAAAGTACATATAAAATTCTTTGCATGTGAAGAATCTGAAGATCATGATTTAAAAACAGAATGTCATGCTAAAATAGAAAGGGTTATGAGCAACACACAGAAACCAAATCACCAAAACCTAAATTCAAACCGAAAATCAGAAAGGGAGTTCTGCCCATTTCTCATGAACCAAATCACCAAAAGCTAAATATGAACTTAAATGAATGAGATTTGAGGATTTGAAGGAATGAGAGAAAATGATGGGACAATCCTCCAATAAAGCATGAGGTTCATGAAATTTCATTACATTAGAAAATAAAGCTTCAAAGGGGAAAACGATATATAAGTTTTTGGTATTTCCTGTTTGTTCCAAAAAAAAAAAAAAAAAAAAAAAAAAAAAAAAAAAAAAAAAAAAAAGGAAGTGGGGATAGATTGAATGGTTGAGGATGAATGAGAAGATTGAGCATTGTGCAAATCTTGTTTGCAAAACTGGTTTCCTTAATTATGTTAAGTGAAAAGTAATATGAAAATAAATTAAATATCAATCTGTTTTTGTTATTTATTGGACAATATGGGTAAAGTCAAAATGTCAAAAGAAAAAAAAGCTCATAGAAGAAGAAAAAGGAGGTCCAGTAAATTGACTAGGAAATATCGAATTAAATTAAATATGTATAGAAAGAAGAATGGCTAAATCTGGTAAAATAAAAGGAAAAGGAAGAACAGGAATGATAGTATCCACAGAAATCTGTTCATTGGATCTTAATTACTGCACCTCCCTGGGTTTACATTCCAAATTTACCATCTTTTTCCAAACTTTTGCACACTGATTTGAAGGGGAAAATCCCCATCCAATTGTTGTACATTTTCAGCTCTGTCTGACTTGTGTCTCCTCATGAAAGAAAATCTGAGGTAAAGTTAAACAATTAGAATACAACATTAAAACCAGGCAAGCATCATGGATTAGTGGTAAGGATTAAAGTCAGCAAATCCTGTCTCAAAACAGGCATATTAATTGGGTACTTCTATCAGTATATATATGGAATGGACTCTAAATTTGACCCAAGGTTGAAGTTGTTTAAGGAAAAGCGACCTCATTTTATTATCTCCTTCAGGTAATTACCTAATTCCCTCTGGCCACTTGGGGTTGTGTTAGCTTGATATACATTGCTAATCCCATTTCTTGACAATCTTTTTGTTGGATCTAGTGGTTCTCTAACATGGTATTAGAGTTTTGGTTGGAGGTCTTGGGTTCGAAATCTCCAATCCGTAACTATGTTTTTTTTCCCTTTTTGAAATTATCCCAAGGGATAAATTCCCAATAGTTTTAATAGTAAATAAATTTTACAGGGTTGTTATTTTCTGGATTCTACATTAACACTTTAATCATGCTCCTCTGCATATCAATATCAAATTAATCTAATTAGAAACATTGGACATTCTTGACAGAAGTGATAAAAAATGATGGAAGTACTGCATTGGATTGCACTCATTCTGTCCATTTTAGCAACCATTCACAACCATATAGGCCTTGTGGAAGCTTCTACTGACATAGGTGTTTGCTATGGAATGTTAGGAGATGACCTCCCTGCTGCTACAGAAGTGGTTAATCTGTACAAAAAATATGGCATTGGCAAAATCAGACTTTTTAATCCAAATCCTGCAGCACTCCACGCACTGAGAGGGAGCAATATCGACGTCACTCTCGGCATTCCGAACGAAGACTTAGCCAATTTGGCAGGAAGTCAAGGTGCTGTGAACACATGGTTTGCCGCAAATGTAGAGCCCTACCTAAATGATATCGTCTTTAATCACATTGCTGTTGGCAATGAGGTCATTCCTGGTTCCTTGGCCGTGCACGTTTTGCCTGTCATGAAGTATCTACAAAACGTCATCAATGACAAAAACTTAGATAGTATTAAGGTGACCACTGTTTTGTCAGGGACTGCATTAGCATCGTCATATCCGCCTTCAAATGGTGCATTCAAACCAGAGGCAAGCAATGTTATGAGTGCCATTCTTGCATTTTTATCAGCACGAGGATCACCCCTTATGATCAATGTGTATCCTTACTCTGCCTACTCATCTGACCCTGCCAATATACACTTGGACTACGCTCAGTTCACTGCAACTAGTCCCGTGGTTCAGGACAGGGCCTTGAGCTATTATAACCTGTTTGATGCCACGGTGGATGCTTTTTTCGCAGCAATGGAGAAAGCGGGAGGGGGCGGTGTTGGTGTTGTGGTGTCTGAGAGTGGTTGGCCTTCTGATGGGAATGGAGATTTCACCACACCAGAACTTGCAGGGACATATAACAGGAATTTCTTGAAGCACATAACCTTAAAGGCAGGGACACCAAAAAGACCTGGTGCTTACATTGAAGCCTACATTTTTGCCATGTTCAATGAGAATCAGAAACCTAGTGGCGTTGAGCGGCATTTTGGACTTTTTTATCCAAACATGCAGCCTGTTTATCCTGTGTTTTAAATCAAGATGCAGAAAGTTTCAAGTCAAATTATGTATCTATAATGTAATAAAGACGTGAATGATCTTGAAATTTTGGATAAACAATCAATTCCCAATAGTATCTATGTTGGTAGCAATACAAAATTGCTTCATCATTGTTGGGATATTGTGATCTTCTTGATGCCTTATAATTATTATTTCATGTTGTTTCATTATCTTTCTTTCTTTTTGTTTTTTGTTTAAGTATCTCTCGGAAAATAGCAGAGCATTTGGATTCTGGTAAAATGAAGTTGGATTTGAGGAATCAAAGAAATGAGAGGAAAGGGTAGGAAGAAAAGGAGGGTATCTTTGATTGCCCCCTCACATGTGGGTTTATTTAAGCCTAACATTTTGGGTGGCGTGGGACGTGGGGCGTGGGATGTTGGGCTCAACACGTGGACATCATGCTTTGATATTGTATCAAAATACGAGCATCCAACCCAAAACTAATTGATAATGAGTTAGTAAGACTTCAATTCCCCGATATGGGAGGATCCTCAAATAAATGCAGCATAAGGTTTCATGAAGTACTAGAACATCAAATTTCGTTAACTTGGTAGTCAAGTATCATGCTCAATATCATTTCGCATATCAAATTTAAAGTTGACCTAGAGCTAGTGATTTTCTTATTTACAGTAGAAATCTGATTTTTTTTGATAGAATCGTTTACTAAAGAAAATCAAATCATTATAAGCAGTATAATAAATGCATATATAAGCCTGAACATTTATGGAAGGAGTGAAAAAAAACTTACGAGGGCAAAATGTTTTCATTTATTAAAGAAATCACAGAAGAAGATACTCTTGCACTCGAGAATCAATATTTTCATCATTTAATATCTACCTGTAAATTGCTCAAGTTTGTCTGGATTCATTGTATCTGCTAGCTGTTCATAGCATTGCTTAAGTTTAGGGATTTAATTACTGCCATAAAATACTTAATTTTAGGGATTTAATTACTGCAGTAAATTGCTTAAGTAAATGCATTTACTTGCTATTATTGGTCAACTCTTGTAAATATAAAATCTCCCCTCTATGTGATGAATAATACTCAGAAAATTCACAGCCTTTTTGGACCGGCTGCTAGCTTCTTTTGAGGTACATACTTCTAGCTCCACACTTTTTGCCTTTTTTTTTGTTGTCTCTCATTAATTTATTTATGTATACTACTGCAGGTGTGAATATTAGCAGGCACTCAGTATGCAGAAAGTGATGGCAGCAGTGCCTTGGGTTGCACTCATTCTGTCCTTTGTAGCAACCATCCACAACCACATAGGCCTTGTGGAAGCTTCAGCTGACATAGGTGTTTGCTATGGAATGTTAGGAGATGACCTCCCTGCTGTTACAGAAGTGGTTAATCTGTACAAAACAAACGGTATCGGCAAGATGAGGCTCTTTGATCCTAATCCGGCTGCACTCGAAGCACTGAGAGGGAAAGAAATTGATGTCAGTCTAGGCATTCGAAATGAAGACTTGCCTCAATTGGCAGGAAGTGTAGATGCTGTGAACTCGTGGTTTGCAACTAATGTAGAGCCCTACCTGAATGACATTGTCTTCAGTTACATTTCTGTTGGCAATGAGGTTATTCCAGGGTCCTTAGGCATCTATGTTTTGCCTGTAATGGAGTCTCTACAGAAAATTCTCGACGATAGAAACTTGGCTGGTATTAAGGTGTCCACGGTTGTGCCAGGGTCTGCCTTAGGAGTTTCATTTCCACCTTCAAGTGGTGAGTTCACACTAGAAGCGAGCAGTGTCATGAGTGGCATTGTTGCATTTTTAGCACAGCGAGGATCACCCCTTCTGATCAATGTGTATCCCTACTTTGCTTATGCATCAGACCCTGTCAATATTCGCTTAGACTACGCTCAATTTACCGCAACAAGTCCAGTGGTTAAGGATGGGGAGTTGAGCTATTATAACCTGTTTGATGCCGCAGTTGATTCTTTTCTGGCAGCAATGGAGAAAGTAGGCGGGGCAAATGTCGATGTGGTGGTGTCTGAGAGTGGTTGGCCTTCTGATGGGAATGGAGATTTTACCACTCCAGAACTTGCAGGGACATATAACAGGAACTTCTTGAAACACATAACCTCAAAAGCTGGGACACCTAAAAGACCTGGTGCTTACATTGAGGGGTACATTTTTGCCATGTTCAATGAGAATCAGAAACCTGAAGGTGTGGAGCAGCATTTCGGACTTTTTCATCCTAACATGCAACCTGTTTATCCTGTATTTTAAAGATTCAAGACCAATCACATCAGCTATCTTAGCCTAGTGGCAGTTCTCTTCCCAACATAGTATTAGGTCCAAAGTTCGAATTCCCTCCCCACCCTCTCCCATCAACTTAGTATAGTGGTAGTTCTCTTCCCAACATAGTATTAGGTCCCGAGGTCAAATTCTTTTCCCATTCAAGACAAATCATGTATCGATAACATATCAATAAAGAGTTAATTATGCCTTCAAACATCTTACATCTCTGTGTTTTTTTTTCTTGGGATTTATTTGATCTTGTATTTTTGAACATTACAACACTGACTATTTAAGGTTTGGGTTGGTTTATACACAGTAACCAAATTACGTTATCCTGCTCACTTGAATGGCTCTGAAATGATCTCTGTTCTTTTCTTTTTTATTTATCTCTGAACAAGTAATTTATTTATTTAAACCAGGTAATACAATATCCACAAAGAACAAGAAAAGTTTCGAAACCAAGAGAGTGGTTCCCCTTTCCCAGTTGCTTTGCTCTGAAAAGGGTAGTTTGTGTGTACCCAACAAGAGGTTCTTGGGTGTAGAAAGTCTTCCTGTTGTACTTGGTCAAGGGTGCATTAAGCTTAAATCTCAAAACCCAGTCAAGGTTTGAGATAAAAAGGCGACCATACGACACTAAAAGCATCCCAGAAACAAACATACCCTGTTAAGCTTTTCTTAAAGTCCCATCTAGCATGAAACCTGTTTATCCTTTCTTTTAAGACTAGGACAGGACAGGTTTCATGGAAATTCATGAGTTCATGCAGAAAACCAAAGCTTCAGAAGGGAAAATGGACAACTAAACTTTTGCACCTTCTGTTTGTGCACAACATTTCCTTATGGAGAAAAAAATAAAAGAGGAATGGTACAATGAATAATATGCATCCACAGAAAATTTTCCATTGGATTGTCTTAGTTAATTTGTGCACCTACATAGAACATAGGTTAGCATTCTAAAGCATTCCAAATTTGCTCTTTTCCAAAAAAGTTCATACTTAACTTAATATGTAATTCCAGATATGTAAACAAAACCTCATGTAGATGCTGTAGTTCACCTGTGTATTGTCTCTCAATTAGGACAGAACACCTAAAGCCAGACAAGCATCATGGATGTAGACGGTAAGAAAACTCTAAGCCAGAAAATCCAGTCTCAAAACAGGCACATTAGTTGAACCTTGTACTTGTTACATAACACTTTGTTAGTATATATATAGGAGTGGACACTTAGCAAATACTCAAGTTAGTTAAGGTAGACAGACTCCAATTTTCGTTATCTGGATCAGGAAATCTAATCTTTCCTGCAGCAACCGGTGTGCACTATAAAGCCGATCAGTGTTCCTTGAGGTAGTATCGACATGCTAGCTCCACGCGTTTTGCTTTCTTGTGTGTCAAACATTAATTTATTAAGTGCACTTATGCAGGTTTAACAGGCACTCAGCAATCAGAAAGAGATGGCGGTACTACATTGGGCTGCACTCATTTTGTGCTTCGTAGCGGCTAGTCACAACCGTATAGGCCTTGTGGAAGCTTCAATTGACATAGGTGTTTGCTATGGAATGTTAGGGAATGACCTGCCTTCTCCAACACAAGTGGTAAATCTCTACAAAACATATGGTATTGGAAAGATGAGGCTCTTTGATCCTAACCCCGAAGCACTCCAAGCACTCAGAGGAAGCCAAATTGATGTCAGTATAGGCATTCGAAACGAAGACTTACCCAGTTTGGCAGTTAGTCAAGATGCTGTAAACTCATGGTTTGCTACCCACGCAGAGCCTTACCTTAATGACATTGTCTTCAATCACATCACTGTTGGCAATGAGATTATTCCCGGGTCCTCAGGCAACTATGTTTTGCCTGTAATGCAGTATCTACAGAAGATTCTCGACGATAGAAGCTTGGCTGGTATTAAGGTGACCACTGTTGTCTCAGGGGCTGCCTTAGGAGTTTCATATCCACCTTCAAGTGGTGCATTCACACTAGAGGCCAGCAGTATTATGAGTGGCATTCTTCCGCTTTTAGCACAACGAGGATCACCCCTTATGATCAATGTGTATCCTTACTTTGCCTATGCATCAGATCCTGTCAATGTTCACTTAGACTATGCTCAATTTACTGCAACAAGTCCTGTGGTTCAAGACGGGACGTTGAGCTATTATAACTTGTTTGATGCCACAGTTGATGCTTTTATCGCAGCAATGGAGAAAGTAGGCGGAGCTAATGACGATGTGGTGGTGTCTGAGAGTGGTTGGCCTTCTGATGGGAATGGAGATTTGACCACTCCAGAACTTGCAGGGACATATAACAGGAATTTCTTGAAGCACATAACCTCAAAGGCAGGGACACCAAAAAGACCCGGTGGTTACATTGAAGCCTACATTTTTGCCATGTTCAATGAGAATCAGAAACCTGATGGTGTGGAGCAACATTTTGGGCTTTTTCATCCTAACATGAAACCTGTTTATCCTGTATTTTAAAGATTCAAAACAAAATATCTTTCATGTATTAATAAAGATTTAGTTACACAAACATCTCTAAGATTTTTTGTGAGTTTTCAACTTGATTTGAATTCTACATCTGAAAATTACAACACCGAGAATTCAAGGTTTGGGTTTGGTTTATAAAGCAATAAGCAGATAAAACTACCTCAGAATCATGTCACCTAAAATCATGTAACCAAATTTAACAACATTATTTATACCAAATAATACAATATCCAAAAGGTAAAAGTAACATTTCCAAAACACAAAAATCAGAGGCGGGAGAGTGGTTCCTCCTCTTTCCCACTTGCATTGCTCAGAAAAGGGTAGTCTGTGTACCCAACAACAGGGTCTTGCGTGTAGAAAGTCTTCCTGTTATACTTGGTCAAAGGTGCATTAAGCTTCAATCTCAAAAACAAGTCAGGGTTCGAGATAAAAAGGCGACCATAAGACACTAAATCAGCATCCCCAGAAGCCACAGCATGAATTCCAAGCTCCCTCGTGTACCCACCACTAGCAACAAACGTACCGCGATAAGCATCTCTTAAAGTCCTCATAAACACAGCTTCCTCTTCATCACTGCCAGGTTTGCCAGATTCGGTTTGGCCATATGCAGCATAACGGGGCTGAGTAACATGGAGATAAGTGAGTTTTGAGCCCCAGTCTTGTTGAAGCTTGTTGAGCCTTTCAATCACTCCAAGGCCTAGGGTAAGTGGAGCAGAGTCAACTGCATCAAGGTGATCAATGGCTGGTGAGATTCTGACACCAACCCTATCAGCACCTATGGCTCCAACCACTGCTTGAACCACCTGAAGCAAGAATTTGCAACGGTTTGCAAGTGATCCGCCGTACTCATCTGTTCGATCATTGATTCCATCTTTCAAGAATTGATCAATGAGGTAGCCATGTGCCCCGTGAATCTCAATTCCATCAAAACCTACACATCAAAAGATTCAAAATTAAAGCTTACTAGTAGTAAGCACAAAGGTGACATGCGCTTGCAAACAAAATCATTGTATGATTGAGAGAAACCGACCTGCTCGAATGGCATTCAAGGCAGCCTGTCGATAATGCTCCACCACTTGAAGGATTTCAGGGGTTTCTAAGCGTCTAGGCTTAGGGTAAGTGGCATGAGACGCATCGGGTAATAGAATTCTCCACCTCCTCGAAATGGGAACGTTGGTTGAAGATATTGGTGATCCCCCACCAGGTTGGTAAACTAAATCAATTGAAAATTTCCAAGTAAAAATTGGCACTGAAATGCTACAAGCTTTAGACCAAAATATACTATAAGAGTTGCCAAATAAAGGGCTAGGGGAAGTTACCTTCATGAGAAGCACGACCCACATGCCAAAGTTGACAGAAAATAATGGCACCTTTGGCGTGAACCGCATCCACAACCTTCTTCCATGCCTCCACCTGTTCATCATTGTAAATCCCAGGAACATGTGGAAACCTGCATCCACCTTAACATTTAGTATCACTAACATTGTAAAATTCCCATTTCAAGAAACTTTTAACTCTATGTAGCATGTTACGTTGTTCGACTGTAAATCAAGTAAAATAATATGCTAAGTAAAATCTAGTAAATTATAAACATAGATTACTTATGGATGAGGAATTATAGGAAACTAGTTTTAGTCTAGTTTTACAAAGTCAACATTATGGATGCAAAGTCAACATTATGGACCAAACTTCTTAGACGAAAAGCTCCTTAAGCCCAATAGGTCCGAACTACACAAAGTGGGGCCCAACTTGGCAAAGCTGCCAATCATTGATGAATACGAAAGAGACACTTAGCTAAAAACGAAAATTACAAAATTACCCAGCGCCAGTGTCGGAGACCAAAGTGCCTTCGGTGATCAGAAAGCCGCCGTTGGTTGACCTTTGAGTGTAGTACTCGGCCAACGCCGGCTGCGGCACGCCGTTCAAAGCTCGGCACCTCGTCATCGGCGCAAGCACCACCCTGCAAAGTTCAAATCCGTCAAAACACACCCCATAGCTAAACAATTAAATGACAATTATGCCCTCCCGGATTTCTCCCCGCTTTTTTCAAATTCCCGAGGAAATCGGAAGCACCAAGTGGGACCAGAGTTTCATGTCCGGTGAAAGAAAAAGAGGAGCAGCTAACTCGACTCGATGCAGCCGCAAAACTCTAGATCAGGGATGACTGACCTGTGAGAGAGATTGAACTTGCCCATCTTGAACGGAGAAAAGAGAGTGGGTCCCTGAGATGAAGCCTCCGCCATTTTTAGTTCAGATCAAACGATCGAAAAGCCAGTAATGAAGTGAGATCGAAACAGAAGAAAAGGAGAGAGCTTTTATGGGAGGAAGCAGTGGCAATCGGCTCGGCTATCAAGGGCCGTCGGTGATCGGTTTCTGTAGTGTCACCGTGCGATGATGCTTTGGCTGCTCTTGTTAGTGGGATTTTAATGGTGGTGGTCGGCAACTGTGGGCGGGACCCACAGAGGGATGTTTCCATTGTAACAGCAATGAGATTCACGTGCGGATTTATTTAAGACGTGTTTTACCGTCGATCGTTGACTGGACTCGGGTCCTGAGATGAAGCCTCTCGGGTCGGGTCTAGCACCGGCAGGCTTTTGAGTTGGGTTTGGATTTTGATATTGGGCTTCAGGTGGAGTTAGGCCCAATATGTGAGTTTTGGTCGAATTTTTAATGCTTGAGGGGCCTCTTTTGGAACATATTGTTGTTGATTATAGAAAGATATAACATGAAACAAAATATATTGATATCGATATTAAATTGATGCGATCGCGGTCTAAATCTGGGACAAGGATAAGCGTGTAAGCAATGACTTTTCTTTTTTCTTTTTTTCTGGATAAATATCTACAATATCATTATCAGTTATCATGATGTAAAAAGATTGGTATCCTATCCATCCATCCATCCATCCGCTGGAGACTCCCAAGAGTTGCAGAGGAAGACTGGTTTGATTATTTGTGGCCCCAAAGTCAGCAGCAAGCAGTTTTGCCATTTCATGCATGGGATGAAAAGTCATAAATAAACAGCACACCTCTGTGATTTGACTGTTAAATCTACCCCATATTCAATTTCCATTATATATTAAATAAATCTTTGCGTATTCAATTGCGATCAAAGTCAATTAAGATGGGATCCAAGACTTGCACAAAAATTGATATGAGGATATTGTTGAAAAACTCCATGCTTCTAGAATTATTTTTTTTTGGGTGAAATAATAAAATCAAAAGAAAGAGGAAATAGCCTTCTTTTGTTGTTCTTCTTTTTCTTTTGGGTCACTCTTCATAGTCCATCCTTTTCTTAATATTAACAACTGTAATTGCAATGTAATTCATAATTATAGACAGTTGCAAACGGGTCTAGTCGATTGGAAAATGACATTGATTAGCAGATTAGTGATTTCATGTTCAAACCTCTATTGACAATGTGTATGAGAAAACCCCCTTCCTCAATATCACTCGTATATATATATATATATAATAATAATAATAAAAAAACTCATAATTGTGGTTCGTTAGATTCTGTCTTTACATCGATCAATCTCTCTATCCCATATTTATGGTAAAGCTATTTTCATTCACCTACACTCCTCAATGGACAAACCATAATAATTTGCTTTCTTGCAAATTTGGTTTTGTCTCTATTTTGGTATGGTGTTGTTGGTTGGGTGCAATTAAGAATGTTGCAAGCTAAAAACAGATAAAAATTGCTAGGTACACCCCCACAGTGTTTTTGTTGCCCTAGCAATGATGTAGTCATGTTGGTGATCAGACTTGGAGCTATCTCAAACTGAAGTGGTGTGTGGTCCCCACTCCTACAACATGAGTAGGAAGGGAACAACTTTGTCACCCTCATCATACCACACACATCCATGCCCAACTCTCTAAATCATGAAAAAGAAAAAAAGGAAATACAAAAATACCAACAACAAAAATTCATTATTAAGAAAAAAATTATGAGTTAAAATATAAATACCCTTTGAGTGAAAAGTAAAAAACCCATTGAGCCACGTGTCCCGGTACCATTGTATGTGCTGTAAGCGTCTACACCTCACCCACCCCGCTACGTTCCAAAAATCTGCACTGAAGAATGGCGCAGTGCGCGCCGTGTGTACCAGACAGAGAGGGCAACGCCGCTTGTAAATATTATAAAAATAAAAAATAACGAAAGTTGGACAAAATAAATATAAAATTAGGAGCAAGGCGGGGCCCAGTGGGGTGGACTGCAGTCTGCATAGGATGCCCATCGTACATCGTTACCAAACAGGCAGAAAAAAGGGTAGAGCAGTCTTTTCTGAGTCCAATTTCCATCATGTTTCCTGTCTAATTTTTTCACACCTATCACTCCACTAATTTCTAACTTTAACACTGCTAACTTAAATTAGAAAAACAAAAATTAATTATTAAAGAAAAATTAAACAGCCACCACAGCCCCCACCCACCCAACGTGATCAACCACCTCACCCCATTGACGGCAAGAAGGAGATGAGAGGAGAGGGGGTTGTCGTTGGTGGGGTTGAGTGGCTGACCAGGTTGCGTGGGTGGGGGACTGTGGTGGCTGTTGGGTTTTTATATTTTTGTTAATAATTAATTTTTGTTTTGTTAATTTTATTAAAAGTTAACAGTATTAAAGTTAGAAGTTAGTGAATGACAAGTATAAAAAGAATGTTGCAAGCTAAAAACAGATAAAAATTGCTAGGTACACCCCCACAGTGTTTTTGTTGCCCTAGCAATGATGTAGTCATGTTGGTGATCAGACTTGGAGCTATCTCAAACTGAAGTGGTGTGTGGTCCCCACTCCTACAACATGAGTAGGAAGGGAACAACTTTGTCACCCTCATCATACCACACACATCCATGCCCAACTCTCTAAATCATGAAAAAGAAAAAAAGGAAATACAAAAATACCAACAACAAAAATTCATTATTAAGAAAAAAATTATGAGTTAAAATATAAATACCCTTTGAGTGAAAAGTAAAAAACCCATTGAGCCACGTGTCCCGGTACCATTGTATGTGGTGTAAGCGTCTACACCTCACCCACCCCGCTACGTTCCAAAAATCTGCACTGAAGAATGGCGCAGTGCGCGCCGTGTGTACCAGACAGAGAGGGCAACGCCGCTTGTAAATATTATAAAAATAACAAATAACAAAAATAAAAAATAACGAAAGTTGGACAAAATAAATATAAAATTAGGAGCAAGGCGGGGCCCAGTGGGGTGGACTGCAGTCTGCATAGGATGCCCATCGTACATCGTTACCAAACAGGCAGAAAAAAGGGTAGAGCACTCTTTTCTGAGTCCAATTTTTCTGAGTCCAATTTCCATCATGTTTCCTGTCTAATTTTTTCACACCTATCACTCCACTAATTTCTAACTTTAACACTGCTAACTTAAATTAGAAAAACAAAAATTAATTATTAAAGAAAAATTAAACAGCCACCACAGCCCCCACCCACCCAACGTGATCAACCACCTCACCCCATTGACGGCAAGAAGGAGATGAGAGGAGAGGGGGTTGTCGTTGGTGGGGTTGAGTGGCTGACCAGGTTGCGTGGGTGGGGGACTGTGGTGGCTGTTGGGTTTTTATATTTTTGTTAATAATTAATTTTTGTTTTGTTAATTTTATTAAAAGTTAACAGTATTAAAGTTAGAAGTTAGTGAATGACAAGTATCAAAAACTTAGATAAGAAACAGGAGGGCACAAGGAAATTTAAAATATAAAAATTGACCAGAATAGTAAAACAATGCTATTCCTTTCTGCACATGTATCTCCAAACAGACCTGTAAATAATCCGGAATAAGGAAGATTTCACACCGTTACGCGCAAAAACACACACCAAGCAAACAAGGAAAAAAGCAACTGCCGTTACTCTGACCGTCCCTCGTTTTTCTTCTTCGTAGCTTTTTTTATTCTTTTTTCGACGCACACGAGGCCTCTCTATATAGATAATATATATATAGTTAAATGATTTATTTTCTAAATTTTGGTTCGTAATTTCATTTAGTTTTTGGTCCGGAAACTCTTCGCAATTAAACTAATTGATTAAAGTTTAAAAGCGGATTAATTTATCACCATCATCCTCGCTCTCTTCTCCATTTCGTTTCTTTCAGGAGAAGCAGAAGAACGAAAGCTTTGTTATGGCGGCCGGAGATTTCTCTCTCTGAAATTCTTTCTTGAATTTTAAGGGAATTCAGAGGTGGGTTTATAGTTTTGTATTTCTCTGAGTTTATTGAATGCCATGTTCGATTTTCTATATTCTAAAGTTGCAATCTTTTCCTTTTTCATCCTGATAATAAAATTTCAATTTTACAATAAATAATTGGTCTGCTATGCTTGAATTGTATGGTTTCTTGTTGAACATCATCCAATATAGCAAGCAGAAAGTTAAATTTGTTCTCTTTCTCTCTCATTTCTGGGGGGTCAGGGAGCTTGTGTAACTGAAACAGCTGGATAGGAGAAAGTTAACTGATCAATTTTAAGACAAAAAGAATAACGTTTAAAGTTATTAGCTTTTGAGTTTACATCTAGCTCAAGATTATTAATCTTTTATTTCAAATTGTTGGAAAATCAGATATCTTTGTCTATGTTTATATGTTCGTGTGTTGGAAATTCTTGTAGAGTTCAGGAATACTTGTAAAGTTAAAAGCATGGTTGCAGTGAACATCAAAGGTTCAAGATTAAAGTAGGAATAGCATGAAATTAATTGTTCCAGAGTTCCTGCTTTGAATTATAAGGTATCCCTGCTCTATATGTGTTCACAGTTTCCTGTGTTAATTGTACTTGTAGTGGTACAGTCTTGATAATTAGAAATATCAATTGTTTTGCTAATGACTTGTATTGTTGAAGCTTGAATCTTTGTTAATGTTGAAATTTTTGATAGGAGGGAAGCCTTTTAGTATGGATAAAGAAGAAGAAACTGGTAGCCCTAGTTGGGGTGCTTCGTTTTTCGCACAAACGGAAGATGTTGCTAGAGCAGTTGCTGCTGTAGCAGCCGCTGCTACTGCCACTCATTCTCCGAGGCCATCTGTTGTATATTCATCGAACGATGATGGTGGTAATAGCCCACTTAAAAGACTACAACGCCATGTTACGAATGTGCTAAAAGGTTTCTCACATCCTCCTGAAGTGAAACGTGGAACCTACAATCCAGAAGTTCTGACTAGCCAGAAGCGCCAATGGGCAAGCTTTCAGTTGCAGTACTTGGTATGCAATTTTGTTAATTGGTCGCTTATTTTATTTCTTATTTGTGTATGCAATTCAGAAATTGGTTAATCAAGAATCAAAGATGATTTTTTGTTTTATTTTTCTTGTTTACATTGGAACATGTTTCACGTTCAACAGCTATACAGCTATTTCTAAGTACAGTTGTTACTTCATATTTTCATTTTAAAATTTTTAGAATAGAACAATTTAAGGAAAAATGACAATTATATATGCTTGCTGTGAGTTTAAGGGTCATATGATACCCTGAGACATTTTTGTTTGAAAGATCAGGGGTCATATGATAACCTGAGACATTTCTTCTTAAAAGTTAAGGGTTTTTGTATTGTTAGTTTTGAAATACGTTCACATATGAAACAAAAATTTCATCCAAAGAGATTCTGTAACACCTTTGCTATTTAAGTGTGCAGGATCATAGGTCTTTAAAGCTGCCGACAAGGCTTTTCGAGAGCATGGTTGTTTTGGGGCTTCACCCAAATTGTGATATTCAGGCACTTCAAAGGCAATATATTGCAAGAAAGCATGAGGGTTTAGGAAGATTGCGTAGTTCACGTAGTAGTCAGAATTTCTCTCGTGTGGAACCCAATCTTGAACCTCAGGTGGGGATTCTTGTTGCCAAATATTCAATTTGTTTGCATATTGACGCTTGCAAGCAATTTGAGTAGTGGGTATTAATATTCATTTCTACTTCCAGGTGTTATTTGTTTACCCTCCGGAAAAGCAGGTGCCTCTTCAATACAAGGATCTCCTTTCATTTTGCTTCCCTGGAGGCGTAGAGGTAAGGTGTTCTCTTGATGGATGTTTTGCCACTTGTTCTTTTTAATTGATCGGTTTAATTTTAAGGATTTAAGATTGATGGGCTTTTTCTTTTTTCTCCTTAAATCTATTTAAGAGGAACTCCTTTTGTAAAGCTTAGGTTACAGAGAATGATTATATAACTTGGCTGGATCTCGATGGTAATATTTACAAGGGTAAAATACCTGAGCCTTTAAATATTGGAGATGCTTACCTGATAGGTTTGAATGTATTGTGTTAATGTCTGTATTTGAGAAGAATTTCAGATAATAAATAATTGATATTCTGAATTAGTATGCCTATATTACTAAGGTTTTCGTAGCTTTTACATGGAGAACTTCTTCCATTTAAGGAAAGTGGGGCCAGTTGTGTAAATATCATAGTGCAATAGCAACTTGAGTTTAGCCTGATTTCTTGATCTTCAGTTAAATAATATAATAGGCAATAAAAGAGACATTATATCAAGTTTTACTTGATTATGACTAGTACTTGGTGAGAGAGGTTATTTTTGTCCTATGTGCAGATATTGATTTGTCTTGTTAATATTGTGTATTTGTTAGTTAAGATCTAGTTAGTCATTATGTGCTAATATTGACACCTTGGATGTGAATGGCTTCAGGTTCATGCTGTTGAGAGAACTCCTTCTATGAGTGAGTTGAATGAAATTCTTTTGGGGCAGGTATAGTGCTACATTATGCTCCCATAATGTTGTCGATTAATGATTATGGACACTTATATTGACTATGATGATGCTTATTTGCAGGAGCATTTTAAACGGACCGATCTGTCCTTTGTATTCCGGTTACAGGTAAATTATAGCATGTTATGTCTCCAGGACTCCTTTTTTCTTGGAATTTCCCCTGATATGTTTCAAGATTTCTTTATAACTTTAATTCCCTGTGGCAGTTGCCATTTGACTTATAAACCACTACACTAGTAGTGCTGGATGATAGAATCATCACTGCAGCCTGAAAATTATAATTCAAACAACTTTTTGTCTAGTTGACTGCAATCGTTATTTGAGTTGTATTTGTTCCCACAGAGAAGAAGATTGGTAACAAAATGCGAAGCAAATTTAAGAGGATTCATTGTCTTCATTATCTTTGATTAGATTTATATATGTTTAAAATGTCATTAAAATTAACAGATGTTAGGTAAGCCTATTTCTACTTCATGTGTATTGTTCCTTTTTCTCTAACCTAAACAGTTTAATTTTTAGTTGTTCATTTCCTGGATGACCCATTTTGTACAATATTGGTTTGAAGGTTGCTGATGATTCAACATTGTATGGATGCTGCGTGTTAGTGGAAGAGCTAGTGCAAAAACCTTCTGGATTGCTTTCCATGATAGCAGAGAAACATCCTTCTCGCCCCTCCTTGAGTCGCCATATATTAACCACTAAGAGATGCTATTGCATTCTCTCAAGGGTTCCCTCATTTGAATTACATTTTGGTGTATTGAATAGGTGTGTTTATGTCATATTGAATGCTTATAAAATACATATATATCTCAGTGATTTGCGTTTTTCATTTTTACTTTGAAATGTATTCTAATCCCCTCTAGACTTTCATATAATTATTTATGCAGAAAATTAATGTGTGTTCCTCTGCTATCTAATCATGCATGAAGTTGAAGATCGTATTATTCAATTGTCTGAGAAAAAAAAAAAGAGATATTCATTTCTTAGTTCAGTGAGAAAAAAGAAATTGTAGCAACTTCATTAGAACACATAAAAGCTTTTAACTACCAGTTTATCACAAGATCCAAATTTATTGAGTGACTGGTGCATGGTTTTGTGTGAAGGGAATGTGTATGCTCCGCTATTTGGTCCTATAATTTGACAATCTTCTTTTACTATTTGATACCAACATATAACTTTGCAATTCATCTGTTGCTCAACTTGACTATGTTTGCTATTTCCCTGTAGCATCTTCACAGAAGAAAGGTTGGAACGATTAACAAAAGGTATTGATCTTTTAGATTTAGAAACCCCAAAGGATTATGGCAATGGCGAAATTTTAGAAGAAAATACAGAAGAAACTTCACACAGCGTATCACTAAGTAGTAGAACCGAGGAGAACATGGTGAATAGAACAGCAGAGTTTTCTCAATCAAGTTTAAAAGATTCTTCATTTGGGAGAGTTGCAGATAATGGCATTCACGTAGAGAATCAAATACTTGATGGGGATTTTAACTTGTTGAAGGGAAGGGTGATTGAAAACGTTGTTGTTCCAATTGATCCTGAAACCAAGACGCCCAGTTCCAAGAGAGAATCTGATGTTGCAAATGCTGAAGTTTCTGAGGTCTATGTTGATGATTTCTCTGCAAACAAGCAAACTGTAGAAAGGCGATTACCAAATGCTGTTCTACCTCTCCTGCGTTATTATCAGTATGAAAGCTCTGAATCTTCCTCCAGGTAGATCATTGTTGTTCTTTGGTGCCTTTTCACTTGTATTTCATGCTTTTTATTACTTGCATTAGTAGTTATTATCTTTTCTCTCTCTTACTAATTTTTGGAGCAGAGAATTGCACTTTTTTCTTTGAGCTACTTCAAGTTGCTGTACTCATGCCATTTATTAGTGTTTTATGCAGTTTTCAGGGCTCTCCTAGCGAGGACAGAAATTTTAGGAGTGATGTTGATGATACAGAGACGGAAGAGGCATCTTTCTCTGGCCAAGATGATTCCGACCTCATTGATATTCTTGAATGGGCTAAGGTGAAAAATGAACTTTTCCTTTTTGGATCTAGATATGATTCTAAGCTCTTTGTAATAAGAATCTTGTGCCCAGGCATTCTCTTGAAAAAATTTTCCCAAATTTTCAGGCAAACAATCATGGATCATTACAGATAATAAGTGAGTACTACCAATTACGTTGCCCTGCTAGAGGTTCCACTGTTAGATTTCATCCTTTGGAGCACTTGCATCCCTTGGAATATCATAGACCAGAAACAACCGTTTTACATATTGCTGGCTCAACCATCGATTTGAGGTCGTGCAGTACAAGTCTAGAATTTGCTGAGGTAGATGGTGATGATAGCTTTAAGAAACTTTCCAATTTGATATGTGGTGGATTTGGTTGAACTATTGATTGATAATGTCTCGGTTCCAGACATGATTAATCATTCACATTGTATTGCTGTTGATTATTATCAGGCACAGGGTGCACTCTCGGTTGAGGAGGAAGCAACTGCATTATCAGTATGGGCTATTGCATGCATATGTGGCTCCTTACGGCTTGAAAATGTTAGTTAATGGCTCAACATCACATGAGTTCTTCAGACTTCATTGATTATATTGTTATCTTTTCCCTTTTCTTGGAACTTAGTTAATAGCTTGGCCAGTGCTATTTAAAGTTTCTCATAGGTTAACACTGTTTTGTTGAAATAATTTTTTTTATTTAATCAAAATGGATTTATTTGTTTTGAACCAACAAGGTAAATTTGTTTTGTTATGCTGACAGTTGAAACTGATAGTGGCGTCTACGCTTATAAGCTAATTGAAACTGTAGAATTACTGCATGAGTAAAACTGGCTCCAACATTTACAACATTTATGAAGCGGGAATCAATCTAAAATCTTCCTCAAAGTAATCATTAATTACAATGTTGTAAGAGTGGAATGATATCCTGCATATTATCTGTGGGAATTGTGCAGTGTCAGAATGTTTTCGTTAGTATATTATATTGAATATACAGTTATATGTATGCATGTAGATTTGTGTGTGCCTGCTTCATGTCTGACTTTGGATTATTGATTCTCCTCATACTTTGCAGGTATTAACATTGTTTGCAGGAGCACTGTTGGAGAAGCAGATTGTAATTATTAGTTCCAATTTGGTATGTATTATAAATTATATCAAGTTTATAATGTTTTGATGAAGATTATCAATCCGATGCATGTATTCTTTTTTACTCGATGTAAATTTTATCAGAGAAATTTGTTGGATTTATTAACATCTTGCCAAATGCATGTTCCAAAACAGAACTGTATTAGTATCAACTGCTGCTTATTTCATAACAAGCTGAAAAATCTCAACCCAATTGAATTTAGTTGGAGGTTGTAAAGAACTGTATAAGTTAGCCTCAGGCTATAGGTGCAAGTTTGAACTTCCAAAACAGAGTGGCTCCTTTCTTGACAAGTCCCAGCAAGCGAGGCCCAAGAACCAGTTACACCCATTTATGTTGTTTATTAGAGATAGCTTGGCTTAGGAACTTTTTTTGAGTGACACTAGTGTTGCCATCATTATTAGATCGTAATTTTTTTTTTTAATCAAAAGATCGTATTGTTACTGTTTCATTTGCTTATGTACTTATTTTTGGGTAAGCTAATATTTTAATAAGGGTGTGGACTGTTCCATTATTTTAAAATTTGTTCTAATAATTTAGTTCTTTGACTAAGAAAAAAGATCTACAAAAGAATTTACATCAATGCTTTCTGATGTACAGGGTATCTTATCTGCCTCAGTATTGTCAATTATCCCTCTGATCCGTCCCTACCAGTGGCAAAGCCTGCTAATGCCGGTATGTTTTCCTTCTAGCCTACTGCCTGTGAGATTTGTCCCATGAGAAGTTACTTTTTTTAAACATAATAATTTCGTTGCTGTTTTCATGTGAATAACAATGTGCATATACTTTCTAGGTTTTACCAAATGACATGCTGGACTTTTTGGATGCACCTGTCCCTTACATAGTGAGTTCTCAATTTGTTGGCTGTTATGCCTATTAGTGCCATGGATTATGAATTCATGTTTGTTGGTTTATCTGGACTCTGAATTTCCTCAAGTTATTAGTTGAAAGCCAAAATTTTTAATCGTTCACCATATGATTTAATCCTTATCTGTAGGTTGGTGTGAAGAACAAAACAAATGAAGTGCAATCAAAACTATCCAATGTAATTCTAGTTGACGCAAACAAGAACCAGGTCTGTTGTTTTTTAAGCAGTTGTATTTTTCTACTTATATTGCAGCTCAAATATGTTCAGACTGGTTATTAACCATATGCCTTACAATAAACAAAGCAGAAAGTTTCTATATATTAGTTTACCATTTCCCATGCTTATGTATTATCTAGTTTCTTGGAATGGCTAGTGTTTATCAAAATGCAAAATATTCCTCTAAAAACAAATAAAATATGAGTGTCTGATCCTTTTCCCATTGTGTGATGTAATAGGTGAAGTCACCAACACTACCTCAGTTACCACAACATAAGGAATTATTTTCATCCTTAAGTCCTTATCATGCAAAGCTTGTGGGAGAGAGTTTTTTGGCTAGGAAAAGGCCAGTGTATGAGTGCACAGCTGAACAGGTGTGTTCTGCTTTGTTCTTTTTTGTCTGATTTCAAAGTTTTAAATTATTTTACCATTATTCTCATGTGTTTATTTGCCGCATGTAGGTTGAAGCTGCCAAGGGTTTCCTATCAGTGTTAAGAACTTACTTGGATTCTCTGTGCTCTAACCTCCGTTCACACACAATTACAAATGTACAGTCGAATGATGATAAGGTCAGTTTGTTGTCCAACTGTGATAGCTGAAATGCTGTATAAGGATATTTAGGTTTTTTTGACCTCCTTTGGAATGATGAGTGGTAAATATAATCTTCCAGAAAAATGGCCAGGCACACACTCACAGACACACTGCTAGTCATTAGATAAGCTAGACTTCACTAGTAATGATGATTGCTGTAAAAGTGTAGGTAATATATGACCTGAAACAAAGATCACTGTATTATTCTGTTACACTGAGGGTGCAATGTTGGCTAATGTTATTTTTCAAATTTATTTTGTATGCTTTCCTTGTGATGGACTAAGTTCTGTTGAAGTGTCAGATATATGGAACCTCAGCATAATACATCCTTCTATCACTCACTTCGTACCTTCAGTTATGTTGAATTGATAAGTGCAGATCAATTTGTCAATTCTTTTGAATGTGAAGTGCTTGCTTGTATATCTAGTGACATTCATATGTGAATGCACGATCATATGGTGACTTGTCTTAGAAGAATCCAAATGTACTGCTGCTGATCTGACACTGATTTTCTTGTAATTAGGTATCCTTACTTTTGAAGGAGAGTTTCATCGACTCGTTTCCTAGTCGTGATCGACCATTTATGAAGGTGTGTTCCGTGACATGATTTTCTTTTGTTTCTCTGAGTTAACCAAACAGCCCATTGGCTTGATCATTCTGGAGAATTAGCTAGCTGTTGGGATTTTAGTCTTATGTATTTCCTTAAGGTCATTATTATTGTTATCTTATTTTTTATTTTTGCCTATTTTCTGAAAGTAGCTTATAATAGATGGTGTTGGTTTCTGTGTTCTGTGTTCGTATTTGGATGAGTGTAGTATAGGATGTCACGCTGAAGACATCTAAGTTTTTAGTCGAGTCATGTAGATAAATCACTGATTTAACCTCCTTTTTCTCTTCATTTTCGAAAATGACTTGTAATGATTCTTACTTCAATGCTTACTCTGGATGCTTTTTAAATTGTAATACAGCGGAAAGCATACTGATGTTTCCTTTTCCTCCCTAAATGCTATGCAGCTTTTTGTGGACACTCAGCTCTTTTCTGTACATACGGATCTTGTTCTCTCTTTCTTCCAGAAGGAATAGTCCTAATCTGAACATACGCCTTGCTGAGGTCTGGCAGTGAGTTATATTTTCCTGTTGTAACCTGAACGTAAGTTCGGTATAATGTCAAATTATTAAGTGACATAATATTCAAGAACTCAATCTGGCTTCTTGAAATGGCACTTCTCTTCTCCAAATGAAAGTTGCCTGCTTTGCGTCGCGGCATTCTGTATCATGATGAACTTGTATTCCAGCATATGAGAGAACTCGCAGAATTCTGGTATCCCGCTTGAAGTGTAAATAGTAATTTTGTTTTATTTACTTGAGTTAGTAAAACATGACTCTGTTTCACCGTTCCGATTTAATAAAAATGTAGTGGTTGGTTATTGAGACATACCCGCCTTATGCTGTTCGGTGTGGCCGGCTGGTGCTTAGCTTCTTGACGATATGCACATTGGTTATGTGGGGGGCTTTTTTTTTATCCCTTGATCTTAAACTAAGTTACTTTGAATGGTGCTAACTGCAACATTTCCCAAAATCCTGCAATCAAAATTATGCAGAACTTTGTCTCCACCAATTCGACTATACAAGTCTTGAAAATTTTGAATTCGATAAAAGATTTTTAGCTTTCCTGGTTAAGTTTCATGCCAAGTCTCATGTATAATTCTTGGAGGGCATTCAGAAATCTTACAGAGTAATTAAAAAGAAAGAATCTCATACAACTTTGGAATGCAGTGACAGTCCAGGTTAAAATATATTACCTTGGAGGGAAGTGAAAAAAAAGTGTCTTTCAACTTGAAGGGATGTTTTCGGCTCAAGTGGGATCAATTAAGAAAAAAAAAAAAGGGAAAGGTGGGTTTGCATTGCATGTGTTTCAGCCTGCCAGGTGATGCAAGAACAGTGCCAGACAATACCCTACTTGTGCAATTTCCAAACGTACAATACAAGAATAGTTTCAGAGGCAAATAAATGCAACCAAACATTAGGAACTCCCTTAAATACTTTGGTTTTTTTGTTTTACTTTTAACACCCCACCACCACCACCACCACCACCACCTTCATTGAATTCAGTTATATCACTATGAGGGTCCTAATAAATTAGGCAACCAAACTAGTCAAGCCCCCCAAATATTGTAGGTGCCAAACATAGTAGGTGCCAAACATTAATTGACTATTACTAGCCACATTAATTGACTACTAGACAACATAATTAACATAGACAAATTCAACATATGACAACTTCTAACATATGTCTCTTCTTTTTTTTTTTTTAAACCCCCAAGTCAAAGTATAACCATAAGAGGAAAAGAAAACGCAGAGAATATATTTTTCTCTTATTTGTTTACAAACTTGGTCTGAGTTATGATGTAATCTAAATCAGAGAAGCAGTGTGCCAGTGTCTTCTGTTTACAAGTCTTGAACTTTGACTTGTTCCCTGGGTTGGTCAGTCACTCGTATGCTTGCAAACCAGTTTAGATTAAAAATAAATAAGTTCACCTGTATGCTTGCAAGCCACTAATGATCATGGGCCTGCCTCCTGCCACAGGCCAAGGAAACCCATTTATTGAAGACTTGAAGTGAAAAGTTTCGTGTATTTTATTGCTCTCAAGTTCTCAACAAGGTTAGAGTTCTTCTGATAAAAGTTTATAACTTTATAAGCCAAAGTGAACTGAGAAAGGAAGAAAACTCCTGTCCTTTGGATCAGTAATGACCCTTAATCATAAGGTTCAGATCAACGGTTAAGATCTGCACACTAGTTTATAATGCAGGAAAAAAAGAAAAAAGAAACTTGTCTGAAGAAGAAGAAGAAAGAGAAGAAGACAAAGCAACCACATGAGCATTTGAAACAAAGAAAGCAAGCAAACAATAAGAAATACATAAGAATAATAAGTAAAGTGAGGGTTGCTGTATTTGATCAGAACCCAAAAGCGGTCCTGCTCTGAATCACTGGTTTTCTAAATTTCCGAAATTGAAAAAAAGGCCAGAGTGTAAGTGGGGGGTACTGGGGTCTGAGGTAAAGGAACAGAAAAAGTAAAAGAGTTAGTAGCAGTAAAAGCTCAAACCGTACAATCATCTGCTCACACAGGCATTAGCTTCAGAAACCAACTCTACAGTCTCTCAGACAGACAGACATAACAACACTAAATAACTAAATAATTAAATAAACTTTTTTCCTTTTTTTTTTGTTTTTCTTTTTTTTTAAAAACATTTACAACTTCTTTATTCACTTCCCTTTAGTTTATGGATTTCTGTAGAGTTGTCAGAGACAAGAGCTGCCACAGAGGCAGAAGCTTAGCTGCAGAACCAGAAGCAACAGAGGTGCAGTCATAATATGAGCACAGAAGAGAGAGAGAGAGAGAGAGTGAGAGAGAGAGCAGGTGGCAATGGCATGCAGCAGCACTGTAATCAGAACCATTAGTTTTATCCATGTACAGAAGATTCTGCAGCTAAATGGTCCCTGAAATAAATATACCTACTCTACTCTCTCTGCTCTGCTCTACTCTCAAACTCAAAGGCCCTCCCTCTCCCTTTGCTAATAATATTGAAATTGAATCATGCAAGTGCAGCCCAACCCCATCCTGTTTCTCTCATCTTTTCTCTCTTTCACTGCTGTGTGAAGTCTGAGACAACCAAGTTTTTGGTTTCATATTTTTCTTTCCAATTTGTTCTCTTTGGAGGAAACTTGCTTGCTCTTTCTTTCTGATTTGGGATTTCCCTGCCTCTTCAATAATAATAATGAGTGGGAGAACCAGGTTTCCTTTTACACCGTCTCAGTGGCAAGAGCTTGAGCACCAAGCTCTTATCTACAAGTACATGGTTTCAGGCATCTCCATCCCACCTGATCTCCTCTTCTCCATCAAAAGAAGCTGCTTGGACTCTCCTCTGCCTTCAAAGCTCTTCTCACACCACCCTCCACATAGTAAGCCAACTAGAACACCTCCTCTCTCTCTCTCTCTCTCTCTCTCTCTCTCTCTCTCTCGTGTGTGTGTGTGAATAATATTTTGGGTTTTGCTTACAAGAAGGTTCCTTGTTATGTTTGTGTGGATTTTGCAGTTGGATGGAGCTGTTTCCAGATGGGTTTGGGGAGGAAAATAGACCCAGAGCCAGGAAGGTGCAGAAGAACAGATGGGAAGAAATGGAGATGCTCAAAAGAGGCATTTGCTGATTCAAAATACTGTGAGAGACACATGCACAGAGGCAAAAACCGTTCAAGAAAGCCTGTGGAAGTTTTCAAAACACCAATTACAACAAACTCAAACCCATCATCATCATCAACACCAACAACCATCTCATCAATCACCTCCAAGAACAACCCCCCTTCTACATCAACCCCAACCTTCCATTCCCTTTCTTCATCACTCTCATCACTGTCCTCTGACTCCCACCACACTCAGCTCAACCACTCTAGTTACAATACCAATCTTGATTATCACCCTTTCCTCTATCATCACACATCTTCTTCAAGGCCTCCTGGATTTGGTTTGTCACATCAAGAAAGAAATACTTCCTTGCTTCTGGACTCTGGTTCTTATCCCCAAGCCAACTCAGAATACAGGTTTGTCAAGAAACAACTCATAAAGTTATGGTACTTATTTTCAATGTGTTTTATGTTATTTCTTTGATTATTTAACCTGTTCATGATTAAAATTTTGTTTTGTTTTTTGTTATTATGAGAGAAGAAATAGGTATGTTTATGGGCTGAAGGAGGAGGTGGATGAGCATGCATTCTTCTCAGAACCTTCAGGGTCTGTGAGAGACTTCTCTGGCTCTTCATCTATGGATGACTCTTGGCAGTTCACACCACTGACAATGAGTACTTGCACTTCTTCATCTTCAAAACAGAGAAGCTGCTCTGCTTTACAGAGTGAACACTCTCACTTGCAGCTTCAGAGCAATATCACTCCTAAACAGCAGAATTACTATGCTTTGGGTAGTGACATGAAAATGGACAGAAATGAAGGAACCCAGAAAACCATTCATCGCTTCTTTGATGAGTGGCCCCTGAAAGACAAAGATTCATGGCTTGACTTGGATGATAAATCATCAAACAGTGGATCAGTTTCAAACACCAGGCTCTCAATCTCCACTCATGACTTCCCCATCTTCAGCTCAAGAAATCATAATGGTACTTACACTGTTTATTTCCAGTTTGTCAATTAATATTAATTTGTTTTGAGTTAATTAGCTATACTGTTCTTGATTGTTCAGACCCAGTTGTGATCTTTGTCTATTAAGTTCATTTTGTTTGGTTTTGCAGATGACTGAGTCTCTCTCTCCAGTACTGGTTTCTGAATCAAAGGCCAAAACTGTACTTACCTGGTGTGTCACTTTAATTTTGGTGTTTGGGTGTTTGTGTGTAAGGTCTAATTGGAAATTGACTATTTTCTTTTATTTTATTAGCTGAATGTGGTTGAATCAGATTATTGTGTTTTAAATGAAGGATCCTATGTCTCTGGCCATCTTGGTTTCATGTCCTACTCTACTTCATAAGAGGTTCCAAATGAGTCAGCCAAACCTGTTTTATTTTTAGGCTACCATTTTGATGTTTTGTTTGTTTGAAATCATAATTGAGGGGACCCAATGGACCCAGGATTTGCTAAATATTTTGTCAGTTCTGAATCTGAGCTCACACCAGGTTATGTTGGCAAAGAGTAAACCATCCTTGTAATCTTCAAACCAGGGCAAGCATTGATCACCTTATAAATATATCCACCAGCCACTATACTGGGAAAACGACTCTTCATCAAATGGCTTTTCCCTTCTTTCTTGGTCCCTGTTAAAACAACTTACTTTGTGTATGCATATATATATATATATATTGTCAAACAAAGTGGATCTCGCTAACATATATATATATACAGATATTTATGAGTAAAAGAAACCAGAGAAAAGAAGAAAATAACAAATTTAAGAAGAAGGAAAAGAAAGAGAGAGTGATATTAGATGCACGTGCAGTAAGCAGTGACAGTAGCAGATGCAGATATAAATGTGTTTAAAATTGTATAAGAATCCGTTTACAAAGCTGAGGAACCAAACATAAATTGGCGCTAGCATGTTTTCTTTGAAAAGATGCCAACCACTCTGCTGCTTCAAATCTTAGATCATGCAAGTTTTTTTTAAAATAGGACATTTATGTTGGATCCTCAAGCATGTTAAGCCTAATAAATGAATCTACAATATCTTTTTTGTTGGTTTATTTTTTTGGCACTCACTCTTTGGTAATAACCCCGTTGCAGTCTTGCATATATATAACAGATGGAAAATGCTAGAGGCCCTAACTTTGGGCACCAACTCTCTAATAGAGTGTGGGACCCGTTGTATTGGCGGGCTCCACCTCTATTAGAGAGTTGGTGCCCAAAGTGGTGCCCAAAGTTGGTGCCTCTAGCACCAC